TTTTCAATTTGGACGCCTTTATTTCTTTCTCTTGTCTGATTACTGAGGCTAGGACTTCCCATACTATGTTGAATAAAACTGGTGGAAGTGGACAACCTTGACTTGTCCTGATTTTAAAGAAGAAGCTTTCAGTTTTATGATATTGAGTATGATTTTAGTTGTGGGGTTGTCATAGATGACCTTTATTATGTTGAGGTAGGTTCCCTCTATCCCTGCTTTGCTGGGAATTTATATTAAAAATGGATGATGGACTTTGTAAGATGCTTTTTTTTTTTTTTTTTTTTTTTTTTTTTTTTTTTTTTTGCATTTATTGATGTTATCATGTGATTTTTCTCTTCCAGTTTGTTTATGTGGTGTATCAAATTAATTGATTTGCAGATAACGCTCTGGCTTTGTATCCTGGGACTAAATCCCACTTGACCAGGATGTGTGATCTTTTTAATGTATTGCTGAAATTTGTTTGCTAATATTTTGCTGAGGATTTTTGCATCTATGTTCATCAGGGATATTGGCCAAGACTTTTCTTTCTTTGTACTGTCTTTTTCTACTACTGGTATCAGTAATGCTGGCCTCATAAAATGAATTTTGGAGCCTTCCCTCCTCTTCAAATTTTTGGAGTTATTTGAAAAGGATAGATATTAATTCTTTGAATGTTTGGTAAAATTTACCTGTGAAACCATCTGGTCTAGGACTTTTGTTTGTTGGGAGGTATTTTTGTTTGTTTGTTTATTTGTTTTAAATATATTTTATTGACATTAGAGAGGAAGGGAGATAGAGACAGAAACATCAGTGAGAGAGAATCATTGATTGGCTGCCTCCTGCGTGCTGCCCAGGCATGTGCCCTTGGCCAAAATCAAGCCCCAGTCCGGAAGCCAATGCTCTATTCATTGAGCCAAACTAGCCAGGGAGAAAGTTTTTATTTATTTATTACAGATTCTATTTCATTAATAGTTTGTCTGTTTAGATTTTATGTTTCTTCATCATTCTGTCTTGGAAGAGTGTGTGTTCCTAGGAATTTATTCATTTCTTCTAGGTTCTCTAATTTGTTGGCATATGATATAGTATTTTCTTTCAATTCTTAGTATTTCTATGGTTCAGTTGTCACTGCTCTCTCATTTCTGAATTTATTTATTTGGGCCCCCCCTTTTTTTTTCTTTGAGTCTGGCTAGAGGTTTATCAATTTTGGCTATCTTATCAAAGAGCCAGCTCTTAGTTTCATTGATATTTTTTATTCTAATTTTAGACTCTATTTTGTTTATTTCCATTCTGACCTCTTTTTTAAAAATACGTTTTTATTTCAGAGAGGAATGGAGAGGGAGAGATAGAAACATTGATGATGAGAGAGAATCATTGATGAACTGCCTCTTGCACGCCCCCTACTGGGGAATCAAGCCTGCAGCCTGGGCATGTGCCCTTGACCGGAATTGAACCTGGGACCCTTCAAGTTCATGGGCCAATGATCTATCCACTGAGTCAAACCAGCTAAGGCTCCATTCTGATCTTTATTATTTCCTTTCTTATACTCACTTTGGGCTTTGCTTGTTTCCCCTCCCCCTAATTCCTTTAGGTTTAAGGTTATATTGTGTATTTGAGATTTTTCTTATTTCTTGATGTAGGCCTTTATTGCTATGAACTTCCCTCTTATGACTGTTTTAGTTGTGACCCATATATGTTGGGTCATTGTATTTTCTTCTAGCTCAAAGTATCTTTTTATTTAACCCTTGATCTCATTGTTAACCCATTCATTGTTTAGTATGTTACTTAGCCTCCACATATTTGTTTTTCAATTTTCTTCATATAATTGATTTTCAGTTTCATACCATTGGGGTCAGAGAAGGTGTTTCATATTATTTTAATCTTAAATTTATTGGGACTTGTTTTGTGGCCTGACATGTGGTCTTTCCTGGAAAATGTTCTCATATTTTCTTATGTGCATTTGAAAAAAAATGTGTATTCTGCTGCTTTTGGATGAAATGTTAAAAAAAATACTATCAATAAGTTCATCTGACCTAATTGTCATGTAATTCCTTATTGATTTTAGTTTGAGTCTGAATGTGTTTTGATTTGAAGTGAGTTTCTTGTAAGCAGCATATAGTTGGGGCATGTTTTTAATCCATTCGGTATCTTATGTCTTTTTATTGGAGCATGTAGTTCATTTACCTCTAAAGTAGTTGATATGTATGTACTTATTGCCACTTTGTTAATGGTTGGTTTTGTTTTGTGTGGGGTTGTTGTTTTTTTTTTTTTTTTTTTTTGGTTGTTTTTATAGTCCTTTAGTCTTTCTTTTTTTAATGCTTTCCTGTAGTTTGCTGTTTATTTTTATTTATTTATTTATTTATTTTAGTATTTTGTGTGGATTTCTTATTATTATTTTTAAAATATTTTATAGGTTTTTGGTTTGTGACTACAACCTATCTTACGGCATTTAAATTTAAGTATATTTTCAAGGGTTAGATTTTTTACCATCCCCTCCATGGTTTATGGTGTGTGTGTGTGTGTGTTTAGAGAAGGAGAGGGAGAAAGAGGGAGAAATAAAAACATCAATGAGAGAGCATCATTGACCGGCTGCCTCCTGCACGCCCCACACTGGGGATGGAGCCCGCAACCCAGGCATGTGCCCTGACCGGGAATGGAACTGGGGCCTCCTGGTTCATAAGTCACAGGCTGGTAGGAGCCAAGCAGGTGCCTAAGATACACGGGGCCCTGGCCTACCAGCCCCGGGCAGCTCCAGGTGGGAGGCAGGATCCACTGTCCGCGGCTTGGGCTTGCTCCCTGTGTTTGGAATCAGAGGGGCTCAGGTGACGTGTTTGGGAACTCACTGCGGCAGCCGGCAGGTGGGCCCGGTTACCGTGCTGCGGAGGCGGAGGGGGTGGAAGTAGTTCCACTTGGCCCTCTAGCCCCAGACTCCTCCCGAGGCTCCTGGAGCCCCCGCGGCCTCCCAGCCTTCTCTGTGTGGCCTCTTTCTCACACTCAGAAGCTGTCCGCCCAGCCCCCCGTTGTTTGGGGTGATTGCTCTCTCTGTGTGTGTGTGTGTGTACTTGGTTGGGTTCAGCGTCCTCCTAGGCCAGTGCCATCTTGGACCTCTAGGTTGAGCACCTTGATGTCTGGACTTGGGAAGGAGGACCTGGAGGAAGTAGAGAGTAGGCTCAACCTTGAGGAGGCCTCACCCACTGAGGTCCAGGAAGGAAGGATGGAGTGAGTCTACTGGGGCCGGCAGGGAAGGCCTCTTGGAGTGGGCAGGCTGGCAGGCTGGCATCTGCAGACACGGGGAGGACATCAGGCACTTGGTAACTCCTCAGGTCAAGGCACAGGGGCCAGGGTTGGCCATGGGCTGTGGGCTCAAGTAAGGGTGGAGGCAAGCCCAGCCATCTGCCCCCGGAGAGGCTGGCTTCCATCCTCTCTTCATTGCTTGGGGTGAGAGGAGGCAGCTGGACCGTCTGCATTGGGGGTGCGAGGCGGTGGGGGGCAGGGAGGGTATGGTGTAGGGCTCTGGTGAGAGGGGGACTCTGGCTCTTCCGTGGAGAATGAGTCTGCTCTACCGTCTCCTGGGAACTCCAGAATCTCAAGTTGCCCAGGTCTGGCCAGGGGCACTGCCTGGACAGGGAGGAGCTGGCAGGAAAGGTCAAGTCCACTTTCCTGTTGGGCCGGCCGGCGGTTGGAGAGCAGGTTACTGGGCGTTTTGGGTAGGACAGTGACCCCCTCCTGACCCAGCAGGTCCAGGTTTCACTCGTGCTCCCTGTGCCCAAGGAGAGGCGGGAGCTGACTTCTGCTCCGGGAAGGGAAGCACTTGGCAGATGCTCCGTGGGGGAGAGAAGGGGTGAGCACAGTTCCTGAGAGGCAGTCTTAGAAGTTAATGTGGGGGGCGGGGGAGGGCCCAGCCTGGGTTCCAACATTTGGGAGGGGTTTCCCTCCTTTCCTCCAGAAAGGTGGCAGAATTACTCCAACCCCAAGAATTGTGCCCAGAAGACCCCTGTCTGGAGAAGAGACACATCCCGCGGCTTCTGGAAAGCACCATGTTTATTGAATGCAGGCTGGTGCTAGAGTTCAGCTTCTCCCTTTCCCCCTTAGGACACACCCGAGATCACACAGACGCTTAGGACAAGGATGGGAGCTACAGCCCTGCCCCGACTCCTCTGCTGACTCCTTCACGGAGGACGGAGGCCCGAGGACCGAGTGACAGAAAGGGACATCTGGGGACGATATCGGGGCTGTCAGCCCAGGCACCCCAATGTGCCAGGGGCGAGGTGGGCTGGCTCTGGTCAGGCCCAAATCCTAGAGAAGTCCAAGCCGAACTTCTGCCACAGTGGAGAGGCGTCTGCCGGCTGCAGGTCTCACTCCACAGGTTGGGGAGCTCAGAACGCCTCCCCGGGGACCTCCTGGTCCCTCTGCTCACCCTCACATCGGGCCCAGGAGCCCTCCCCTCCTCCGGGCTGTCCCTGGCTGGTTACAGAGGCATGAGTGCCTGGGCGGGATCCTGGTGCCACTTGTTCTGCGGGGCCTGGACCGTCACTTATCTCTCCAAGATTGGCCCCAGCCCTGGGCTGTGACGGAACCTGCCAGCCTGCCGCCCTCCCGCTCGTTTCTGAGAATGGCTCCTCCTCACATCGTGGGGCCAAGACTGAACCCCGAACTCGGTCCCCATCCTCCCACCGACAGTTCAGAAATGACGTGTCCACACGGCAGCTTTAACCACTTGGCCGAGGCCCCTCAGGCCCCTTCCTCTGTAGGCCTCCGTGCCCACCTGCCCACCCCTGGCCATGCCCAGAGAACCCTCTTCCCAGGCGCCCTGCCCTGAGGTCACTGAGGTGGCGCCGGCCTCGCTCTCCTGCGCCTCCCGGTCACTCTGCCCTGGAGGCCGGTTGCACACGCGGGCAGGGGGCCGAGCGGCCCTGAGCCTGCTCTTCTGGCCACTTCCAGCTGCTCCTACAGACACGGCTTGGGCCCTCCCCTGGGGCAGGGCCGGTGGCGGGGGGTGGGGGGGAAGGGGGGTCGCGGGGAGGCTGGTCGGAGGAGTATCTCCACCCCTGGCTGCAGGCTTTCCTGCTGAGCGAGCCTCCTTGTGCTTTGAGATGGATGTGAAGAGCAGAGCAGCTGGGGGAGAGAGCCAGCCCCAGGTCCTCGAGGCAGGAGCGACAGAGAAGTCGGCTGCTTCACAGCCCAAACAGGAGGGTGGTCCCACATCCTCCAGGGGATAGGGCATGGCCCAGTGGCCCATCCAAGCGTCCAGGATTCAAGGGAGGGTTTCAGGGGAGGACCAGGCCCCGCACTTTCCAGAAGAAGGACCCTGCAGGCCTGCAGGGGCATCGGAGAGGCTGGAGTCCCGGCCCAGCTGGGCCTGAGGGGAGAGGGGAGCCCCTAACCCCTGAGAGAGGCCATGGCGGACCAGGGGCTGGACCTGGCGAGGCGGCCTTGGCGCCAGCTCCCAGAGCGCCCCCGGTCCACACAGGCTTCTGCCTGCTCTTCTGGGCTCCCTGGGCTCCGTCCGGTGCGGCCTGGGAGTCGGGGCTCCAGCTAACGCCCACTCCGGTCGGTGAGCGGCTTGGCATGGCTGCCCGTCCCTCGGGGCTCCCCTGGGGGGGTGGCGCTGTTGGCATATGCGTCGTAGCTGTTGTCGGAGCACACGGAGAGCTCATCGGAGACCTCCATGCCATCGCTGATCTCTGCTGGGCCAGAGGGGGCAAGAGAGGGGTCAGGGAGGATGGCGAGGAGATCGCGGGGGGAGGGTGGCCTGCAGCGACCCCTGGCCAGGCACTCAGGTGCTGATGCGACCACTGGGTTCAGGTTTGGTGTTTAGATTGTTAGTCAAGGCCCCCTGGGAACTCTTCTAGCCACTGAAAACCAGCCCCATCCCCCTGGGCTTGGCATCATCTGCTGCTCTCCTCAGGGCCTTTGCGCAAACGGCCCCCTCTCCTGGGAGTGACTTCCCCATCAACACCTTTTTAAAAAGTCTGGCTCATTCCTCTCACCTGTGTTATTGCAACTTCCCTGACTCCCTTCTTCTGGTAGGGATGGGACCTGCTATAGCCACCCCCCCCCCGCTGACCCCTCCCCCCGCTAACCTCCCCCCCATCACAGCCTGAACTGCCACTGCCTGTGGCCCCACCAGCTGGAGCACTTCAGGGACAGGGGTTCTGTCTGGGCCTCTTGTCCCCAGCGCCTGGCACAGAGCTGGATACAGCAGAGGCCCAGGGGAAGGTCTGCGGAGTGGAGCTGAGCCCCGCTGAGGGGACTCGGGGTTCCTGGGTGGAGTTGGGGGTCTCTGGAGACGACCTCTCAGCCTGGAGTGAGCACTGTGGGCGACTCCCCTCAGAGCCTGCCGCAGAGGTGCTCAGTGAACGGCCTTTGGCACCATGGGGGGTGGGGGTGGGGGTCTGGGCAGAGCCTGCCAGGCCTAGGGCTAGGGGAGGGCTTCCTGCCTTCCGTTCATGCTTCTCACCCCTCTGACTGGAGGCCAGGCACAGTGCGGGGGCCTGGGGGTCCCAGGTGCCCCAGACTGGCCCCTTCCTCCGAGAGGGAGCTCTCCAGTGAGGCCAGAGGGCTGGGGGACGCCAGGGGGCCCCTCGGAGATTTTTTGAGCAAAGGTAAGCAAGGATCTGTGTACCCAAAACAGTGCCTGGCATTCGTCTGTTAGAGAAAGGAATAGTCAAGGAGGGAATCGTGAGATGGTCACATGATCCTTGATCCTCGGAGCCAGCCAACCACACCACCCCCATGGCTCTCGCTCATTCATGCGCGTTTACCGAGTGCCCCTGTGGACCAGCGTGTCCGTCACCCTCACACGTAACCTTTGGGGGTCACTAGCCTATTCCACAGACAAGCAGTCTGATGCCGAGGGAGGTTAGACCCGAGGTCGGCAAACTGCGGCTCGCGAGCCACCTACGGCTCTTCGGCCCCTTGAGTGTGGCTCTTCCACAAAATGCCACGGCCTGGGTGAGTCTATTTTGAAGAAGTGGCGTTAGAAGAAGTTTAAGAAATGGGGCTCTCCAAAGAAATTTCAATCGTCGCACTGCTGATGTTTGGCTCCGTTGACAAATGAGTTTGCCAACCACTGGGTTAGACAGTGTGCTCCGGTGCACACAGCTAGCTGGGGACAGAGTTGGGATTTGGATCCAGATCCACCAGGCTCCTAAATACTCTATAGATTTCTCCTTTTCTTTCTGTTCCCATACCCATCTCTCTCCTGAGTTACCAAGGTGCACGCCGGGAGGATGCCATGCGAACAGGAGGATGACCATCTACAAGCCACGGGGGGAGGGCTGGACCAGACCCTTCCCTCGCAGCCCTGCCGACACCTGGGCTTTGGACTCCTCGGCTCCAGGATTGAGAGACAATAAATGTCTGTTGTTTAAGCCTCCCACGTCTCGGTGCTTTGTCACAGCTCTGCTGCAAAAACGGCCAAATTCAAACCTTCCCACAACCCTCCTCTGCCTCCAGAACGAGGCCCAAGCTCCTGACCATGCCACCTGGGCTGAGCCAGCCAGCGGCCCCTCCGCGCCAGCCGTGTGGAGCCGTGTTTGGTTGCCAGTGCCCTGGAAGCAGTGCTCCCTCACTCCCTCTGAGCGCTGCTCCAGCCTGTCCTTTCTGCCCTCTGCGCCTCCCCGCTGAGCTGAGCGCAAACCCATCTCCCCGCCACCCGCCCCCCATCCATCCTTCCGGTTCAGCTATGTCACTTCCTTGCGACGTGGGTTCCAGACCGTCCTCACCCCCCAGGGAGCTCTGACCACTCTCCTCTGTACCCCACTTGGGATCAGCGCCCTCATCTGTCAGAGCTCCAGTGCCACCCAGTTTCCCATGTTCTTGCTTAGATAGCTGCCTCCTCCATCAGACTGGAGTGTCAGCCGGCTGGCAGCAGCAGGGATGAAGACAGGTTTTTTTTTTTTTGGGGGGGGGGCGGTCCCTGTATGAACCAGGCAAAGGGGGATAGGCCTTCAAAGCAGACCCTTCCCCTCCACCCCACTCCTGCACGTCACTTGCCCACCATCCATGATGCTGACGTGGCTGTATGTGGAGGCGTGTGTCTATGTGTGTGTGCCTCTGGATGCGTGTCCCTGTCTGTCTGTGCTGTGTGACGTGTGGGGTGGGGAACGGGCCCGGCGCCTGCCTCGGGGCCGCCCACCTGAGAAGATGAGCTTCTCCTTCATGATGCTGACGTCCCGGCTGGTCCGGTGCACCGCCGCGTTCAGCATGATCTGCTCGGGGTTGTAGCTGCGGATGCCCCCCAGGCGCCACCTGCAGAGACGACCCTGTGGGTCAGGCCCTTCCCCGCCCGTCCCGGAGCAGGGGGCTGCCCTCTCCCAGCGCCTCCGTGGATTGGGCCTGAGAGACCAGATGGGGCCCAGCGAGGGCCCATCGGAGTCCCCGGACTCCCAGCCAGGCCCCTCCTGCCGTCCTCTCACTCCAGACCCAGCTCAGCCCCTGGGCCCAGGACGCTCTGGGTTGGTTCATTCTGTCTCAGGTGCCCCCAGCTGTTCACCTGGTTCCTTTGGACCTGATACAGTTGGGGTGGGGGAGGGCTTACCAGACATGACTCTGATGACCTACCCTGCGGTACACACTAATCTTGGGGAGTCCCAGCTGATGTCTCCTACAGCCCCCCTGTATGACTAAGCTGAGGGAAGCCAGAGGGAACCCCGGAGAGGAAAGCAGAGAGAGGAGGGGAGATGCAGGGGCTTTGCTCAGAACTGGTCTTCACAGGCTCCGAGCCAAGGACTTAGAGTGACTTGGGTTGGGGTCTGTGCTACTCTCTTTCCAACCGCCCTGGAAGAGGGGGGCACATAGTCCCCAATGGGGAGCCCGGCTGGAGCGCCCTCTGATGGCCGAGGCCAGGCTGCTCAGGGCACACAGGGGCCACGCAGAGCCAGGCATGGCTTTTCCTATTAGAGGCCCCAGCCACCCCCAAACCCTGGCCTCTGACCTTGAGACTCTGCAACCTGGACAGAAGGATTCACTGACCCCCCCAAGCCGGCCCCCCCCCACACTTCCACTCCCACCAAGAGAAGCGGGGGTCAGCTCGGAAACAACCAAACCCCCAGGGCACAGAGCCCCATGGGGTGGATGAAGGGAGCTCAGACTCCACAAGAAATGGGTTGTTTCCAGATGGGTCAGCACGGCTGAAATGGACAGGCAGGTGGACAGGCAGAGGGGTGGGTGAACAGAGCGGACACGAGGGCCAAGCAGGAAGCAGAGGGGAAGGCAGCCTGCGCCCTGGCTGGGTGAGCACCCTCTGTGTCCTTGAGGACAGCAGTTGGGTTGTATTTATCGCTGTGTCCCTGGCACCAACCTCAGTGCCTGCTGTGTGTGTGTGTGTGTGTGTGTGTGTGTGTGTGTGGTGGGGCCCTAAGTACGTGAGGGAATGAATGGGAGAATGAGGAAGTGGTCCTCCCCGGAGCCCCCACCTCCGTCAGGGTGGTGCCAGGAAGAGAGTGGCACTGCCTGGCTATATGTCGTTCAGGGCCAGCCTCTGAGGGATGCCGATCCCCACTGCAGGCCCAGCAGCGCCAGCCAGCACCTCTGTACGTCTGCTGACTGCGAGGAGGAGGAGGAAGGCCTGGGCGAAAGGACCTTGGCTGGCTCAGGACCCCCAGCCAGGGAGCAGTTCCTCCCAGAAGCTGCTCAGTGAAGCCGTCCGACCCAGGAGGCCTCCACGTGCTTGGCAAGGACTTGGGTCTCCGAGACCAAGTCTCCTCTTGGAAATTAACAGTAACCCCAGAGGGAGACCGCCAGGCCAGGGTTTCTCAGCCATGCACAGCTAAGACGGGAAGCTCACCCACGGTGGGGCCCTGACGGGGAAAGTGGGAGAGTGTATGGGGGAGCCAGAGAAGGAAAGTGAAAAAAAAAGAGGTGAGAGACACAGAGGAAGGTAAAGAGAGAATGAGTGATGGGAGAGGCAAACCCAGAGAGCGGAAAGGCGGCGGATGGGAAGGGAGAGACAGAACGTGGTGGGGTGTGCGCTGGGCAGCGGGCAGGCCCTGCGGGGACGCCAAGCAGGGGGGAGCAGGCAGAGCCCTCTGCAGAGGAAGATGCCAGGTCAGCAATCGATAAGGAAACCCTGACTCCCGGACGGCAGAAGCAGCGGGAGGGAAGAGCAGAGGGCACACACGGCGGGCAGGGCGGGAGAGAAAGGAGGATGTCAGGAGAGGAGGGTTCTGGGGCGGGAACCGGGCTATCGGTGAGGCAGCGACCCAGGCACAGCTCGGGCAGGTCCCAGAGGAACTGGAGAGAGGGGCGCGGTGAGGGGGGAGAAAGCGCCAGGAGGAGGAAGACCACACAGAATTACCTGATCAAGTGATAGCTGTGAGATGCCAGAGTGCAGCGGAGAGGGGAGGGTGGGAGAGAGGAGGGACATGCGCCGGGTCAGAGCAGAATGGGACAGAGAGAGAACGTCAGTCAAGAATAAAACCCTTCCCGTTGGTTCATGCCGAGCTGGGACCCCAGCCTGGCCCTCAGCCCTCCCCTGGCCACGCCCACCTCCCCACTGTCCCCACCGCCCCCACTGCCCCCAGCTGCTGTCAGAGGGCGGGAAGGTTGCCGGCATGGCACAGGTGTGCCCAGTGCTGGTGGGAACCAGGCCGTGTTCACCAGGTGGGGAGACAGGCTGGAGAGGAGCGGGAACCCGCAACCACCGGCAAATCCGCGCAGAGGTTGGCCCTGGGCTCCCAGCTGGGCGGGGGGCTCGTTCCAGAAGCTGCCTGCTCTGGCGGAGGGGGGCAGGCCGGGGGCCACGGGGAGTCTTCTCCCAGCATGGGCTGTCTGGTCAGTCAGGCCTTCTCCTGGCCCAGAGCTCAGGAGGAGGGGCGCCTGGCTGGGGGGAGCCGGGTCTGCCTTGTGGGGGGCGGGGCGGGGAAGGCCGAGGCAGGGGTCGGAGCCCACTCACTTCTGCAGCACGAAGATGCCCACGATGAGGGTGAAGGAGATCAGGTCCGCGGTGACCCACAGGAGGCAGTACTCGTCCGGGGGCTGTGGACAGACGGCCCGCGGGCGGCCTCCGGTCACAGCCGGGCCACCTCAGGCTCCGGACTGAGGGCGCGTGGGCAGGGGAGGGCCTGGAGGCACGAGCTCTGGGCCCTGTGAGGAGGGGAGGGTGTGTGTGTGTGTGTGTGTGTGTGTGCGCGCGCGTGCACAGGATAAAATGCCTGTGTGGTGTTCCGAGTAAAGATGGTTAGTGTCAAGCCTGGAGGGACTGGGTGCTTGAGGAGGCTCAAAGCCAGAGGCCCATACTGAACGGCAGACAGAGGAGCGTGGGGGTCCCACGTGACCTGCAGGGGTGCGTGTGCAGCATCCGTGAGGGCGTAAGAGGGCACGTGTCACCATAGGGAGTGGAGTGCGGGGCTTCCCCCAGGGACAGTGGAGGGACCAGGAGGGCAAATCCCAGGACCTCAGGTGGCTGAGGAGGAGGAGGGGTGGGGGCAACGCCTGTGACCCCAGCGGCGAGAGTGCCGCCCCCAGTGCTGCCACAGCGTTATTTCATCCCATTCGGCTGAGCCTCCGCACATCTTAAAGGACCGAGGGCAGGTGGATGGAAGGAAGGACTGAACCCGCCGGGACCTAGATCCGAGCGCTGACCTTGGCACCGTCTGGGCCATAACAGACCCTCCACCCGCCGTTCACCTCCTCAGAGAGATGGCAGTGGGAGCGCGGGGGGAGATCGAGGGCTCCCACCCCCCCGTGACAGAGCGGGGACGGGAATTCAGGCCTGTCCGCAGGTGCTCGGCCAACCAGTTGCAAACCGGTTTGATCCGCTGTAATCTCTGAGCAGATTTTTCTGCTCCCTAGTCTTGGCCTGCTACCCTCTTTCCATAACGCCTACCCTTCCTTCAACATAAAACACCATACACACCACCCCAAACCAGAAAACCCAAGTCGTCGTCCGCTAGCTCTCCAGGGCCCGTAAGTGATGGTTCCGCCCGTGGGTCAGGCCCCAGCCCCGCCCCGCTCCCAGCACCTCCTCCTCCTGCCTCACGCCTGTACCCTCCCCGGGCTGCCCCCAACCTGAGACTCCACCCGAGACACAGGTGTGGAGTCCGCACCCGCCTGGGTGCCATCGGCAGCTCTCCACTGCCCCCACGTGCCCTCTGCCCCCAGCAGCCCCCCAACTCACCATGATCCAGAGGGGGGAAGGCACCTGGGACAGGGTGTGGGCGTTGTCGGAGGTGACGGAGGGCACCCCCATGCACCACAGCAGGGAGAAGAGCCACGGCGTGTTGACCGTGTAGAGGTTCACGCTCAGGTTCCAGGAGGCGTAGTCCCTGTGGGTGAGGGACGGGCGGTCAGCCTGGGGTCCGGGCCTCTGGGATCCTGTGAGGGGGGTGCCAGCCCTCACTTGTCCCAGAGAAGGACGCTTCCTCCCAGAGGGCCCGACTCGGAGCCAACCCATGTCTGCCTGACGCTCTTGACGTCTCTTCCTTGGACCAGAAGTCCCTGTGCTTAACCCTCTGCCCAGACGTGTGTGTGTATGTGTGTGTGCATGTGTGTGTGTGTGTGTGTGTGTGTGTGTGTGCGTGCGTGCGTGCGTGCGTGTGAGAGAAGGAGAGGAAGAGGCAGCAGACGGTGTGGAGGAACCGAGCCTTGCCCTCCTCTGGCTGAGCGGGGTGGGCGGGGCGGGCACCTGAGCTCCTGGCGGGACACCTGAGTGTAGCGCAGGTTCAGCCACTGGATGTGGCCTCGGTGCAGGCTGGAGGCTTCCTCCTTGGAGCCCGACGTCTGCTGGAAGCCAGGAGCCACCCTCCGCACGAAGGACCTCTGCCTGTTCGGCAGCCACATGACCTGCGGGCAGAGAAGGGGCGGGCGGCCTCAGATCTCCCATCTGCAACATGGGCGGAGTCTACCCCTCCGGACGCACCTAGAAGGCTTAAAAGAGACTGGACAGACGGGCCTGACACGGGGTAAAAGCTTACATATAATCACCATAATCCGGGGATGACCTGGTGCCAGCCACGGCTGTGAATGGCGTTGGCAATAACCTAGGGACTTGCCCTCTAGCCTAGGGGTGTCGAACTCAATCAGAGAAGGGGCCAAAATCTAAAATCCAGCCTAAATCGCGGGCCGAATGGTTTACTGAACAGTCATAAACTGTCATTGTGATGGAAACGCAGCGGAGTGCAGTGATGACAGCGCGGTGCGGGCCGCATTGCAAGGCCTGGCAGGACGGATTTGGCCCGAGGGCCTTGTGTTTGATACATGTGCTCTAGCCCCTGGTCACAAGGACGGATCATCGAAATGTCAGTTATTCCGCAGGCGGCCACCGCCATCTAGTGTGCGTCACACGTTGGTGTGAGATTCCTCGGATCTCCAAATGCTACCCCACGAGAATGTGGGCAGTGCTTCCCGGCCGTAAGTATGTGGGAGAACCTGGACTGGGTCATTTTACTTTATTTATTTTAATATATTTTATTGACTTTTTACAGAGAGGAAGAGAAAGGGATAGAGTTAGAAACATCGATGAGAGAGAAACATCGATCAGCTGCCTCCTGCACACCCCCTACTGGGGATGTGCTTGCAAGCAAAGTACATGCCCTTGTCTGGAATCGAACCCGGGACATTTCAGTCCGCAGGCCGATGCTCTATCTACTGAGCCAAGCCGGTTTAGGCTGGATTCGGTCATTTTAAAGGACTCATTGGTACCCTCTTGTCCTCACAATGACCCTGTCGTGGAGGCGAGGGGCACGGTACCCCCATTTTACAAAGGTGGAAGCCGAGGTCTGCAGGGGGGACCGGTGAACCAGCGCCGAGTCCCCCCTCCTCTTCCCACCAGGCTCACCGGGTGCTGGGGGAAGCCGCTCACCTGGTGCTGGGGGAAGCCGGAGCGCAGCAGGGCCTCCAGCGTGATGTTGAGGAAGCTGGCCCGGTGGGGGTGCTCCCGGGGAGGGTCGCGCAGGTTGAGCAGCAGCGTGGCGTTGCCCTTGGCCAGCGCCAGCAGCTCGGCGAGGCTGCAGATGGACTGGTTCTGGGCCTCCCTGTGGTCCGAGGGGGACAGGGAGCTGGCCGTCCAGAAGGGGTCCGTCTGGCAGAGACAAGGACACACGTGGCTGGCTGCCTCCCCAGCACTGGGGCCTTCCGGGCTCCGGAGCACGGAGGCCCCTCCGCGGCCAGCGTGGTGTCAGGTGGGGTGACGGCTGTGACCCCGTGGGGGCTCTAGGAGACCCCCCCACGCCCTGCTCACCAAAAGGACTGCTTGCTTGGACTGTCCCAGAACCCAGCGCGTTTCCCCGGGGTGACATTTCAGACCAGGGAACCACTTCCCTCTATGGAGCTCTACCGCGGTGACGGTTTTAACCCGTCACCACCAGCTTTCCCGGAGAGAGGGACAGACCGGCACACGCAGTGACCGCCATGGCCTCGGGGCCGCAGAGGCAAGACCCCCCGGGGGCCGCTCAGGAGCCGGCCGTGGGGGCCGCTGGGGAGTGGGGCCCCCGAGCTGATGGCCGCCCCGCTCCCCCTGCGCGCTCCCCCTGCGCGCTCCCACCCACGCTCCCCCCTCGGGGCGGGCGGGCGGGCGCAGCCAGACCTCCAGGAACCACTGGCCGGCGTTGAGCCTCTGCAGGACGGTCCAGTTGAGCATGGCGGCGGGCCGGCGGGCCAGCTCGGGCAGCGCCGCCTCCACGTTGGTGGTGCGTCGCAGCGTGGCGTCGTGCAGCAGGAAGGGCACGCCGTCCAGGCTGCACGGGCGGGCCCGGGTCAGTGCCCACCCAGGCCCTCACACTCACACCCACACACCACACACCGCACACACACTCTCACACACACCACACACACACACGCACACTCACACACACACACACACACGCACACACCACACACACTCACATACACACACACACTCACACACACACACTCACACACACACACGCACACACCACACACACACTCACACACACACACTCACACACACCCAACACTCTCACACACACACACCCAACACACACACATACACACCCCCCCCAACACTCACACACACCACACACACACACATACACACACACACACACACCCAACACACACACACACCCCCAACACACACGCACACCCAACACACACACACACCACACACACACACCACACACATACACACACCACATACACCAACCCGCCAGGGGGCCCTGCAGGCCCTGCCCCTCTCTGGGCCTCAGGCTCCGGCTGCACAGGGAGGGCAGTGGGCTGGTGGGCAACTCCCACGTTCTTTATGAGGGTCAGAGGGGGGTGGGGACTGCCGAGGAGGGACGGCTGGGCCTCGTCTCTTAGCAGCTTTGGGAGGTAGGTGCCACCTCATCTGATAAAGGGGAAACTGAGGCTGGGAGAGGGAAATACCTAACTCAAGACCCACAGCCAGTGAGTGGTGGAAAATGGCCCAGAGCCCAGTCCATGCGATGCCATGATGAGAACAGTGCAAATGCAGACCCTTTCGACAAACTTGACCCCACCATCCGGGCCTGCCCCACTGCTGGGGCCTGGACCGATGTGGTGTCTTCGTGGGAAACAGTAAAAGGCACCATGCACCTTCCCCAGGCGCTGTGCCACCGTGAAAGTTTGGATCCATATACACCGAGCGGCCAGATTTTTATGATCTCTGAACGCATAATAATCTGGCCACTCGTGTGTGTGTGTGTGTGTGTGTGTGTGTGTGTGATTAGAGGCCCGGTGCATGAATTCTGTATGGGTGGGGGTTGGCCAGGGGGAGGGAACATGGGTGGTTGGCTGGCCTGCCTGCTGGTTGAACTCCTGGTTGAGGGGACAATTTGCATATTATATAGGATATACACTGAGTGGCCAGATTATTATGTGTTCAGAGATCATGATAATCTGGCCACTCAGTGAATAATTCCAGGATACCCACACTGGAGAAGTGTTCGCATGGACGTGGTGCCCTTAGTACATGCCCTGTGCAGCCGAAATGGTCTGCTATGAGACAGGTGTGGGTCCTTCCTGCCCTTTATACTAATATACACGTGTGTCTACGTGCAGAAGATGTGTAAGTCATTTTAGGGTTTTTTGTTTGTTTTTAGTTGTTAATCCTTACCCAAGGGTATTTTTCCCATTACTTTCTACAGATAGTGGAAGGGAGGGAGAGAGAAGCATTGATGTGAGAGACACACAATCCATTGGTTGCTTCCCACACGCGCCCCCACCGGGGTCTGGGATTGAACCTGCAACTCAGGTGCATGTCCTTGACTGGGAATTGAATCCGAGACCCTTCTGTGCACAGGCCACTGCTCTAACCAACCAGCAACACTGGCCAGGACTGTGTAAGTCATCTTAATGTGGTCTTTTAAAATATAAGTGATGGCGAAACCGGTTTGGCTCAGTGGATAGAGCGTTGGCCTGCGGACTGTAGGGTCCCAGGTTCCATTCCAGTCAAGGGCATGTACCTTGGTTGCGGGCACATCCCCAGTAGGGGGTGTGTGCAGGAGGCAGCTGATCGATGTTTCTCTCTCTCTCATCGATGTTTCTAACTCTCTATCCCTCTCTCTGCCTCTCTGTAAAAAAATCAATAAATATATATTAAAAAAAAATAAAAGTAAAATATAAGTGACACCACAGGGAGTGTGTACTCTGCAATGTGCACATGTCACTTATCAGAGTGGCTCCATCTGTCGGAGCCCTAGTCCTTCACAGAGATTGAGTCTGTCCTTCAAGCAGCTCCGTGGCAGGACTGCAGCTCCCAACCCCCAGCCCTGCTTCAACCAAGAGCCTCTGTTTTCCCTCTATTTTTATTATTATTATTATTGTTTTTAATATATTTTATTGATTTTGTACAGAGAGGAAGGGAGAGAGAGAGTTAAAAACATCGATGAGAGAGAGTCATCGATCAGCTGTCTCTTGCACACCTCCTACTGGGGATGTGCCCGCAACCAACGTACATGCCCTTGACCGGAATCGAACCTGGGACCCTTCAGTCCCCAAGCCGATGCTCTATCCATTGAGCCAAACCGGTTTCAGCTGTTCTTCCCCCTCTATTTTATATCCTGGAATTTGGCACAAGATTTAAGGTCGCGAACAAGGTGGGCAACCCAAGCCTCTGCCCTCCCCTCTCCGAGGCCCTGGACCCGCGGTGTCCCCAGGGGAGACCGGGGGTGGACGCAGTGGGGGCGGGAGGGGTGCCGTCCTCACGACCCAGCGCCCACCTGATGGTGACGTCAGCTTGCACTCCGTACAGCTTGTGCTCCAGGGCCTTCCGGAAGGACATCAGCGTGTGCTCCGGGGCCAGCTGCCGGGAGAGGGGGCCGTGAGGGGAGAGCTGGGGTTTAGCTCACGCGCCCCGCCCCAGCCGAGGGCAGACCCTCCCTGCTGGGCCTGGCTCTGGCCCCAGCTCCTCAGGCCATACTGTCTGGCGGGGCTCAGCCTCCTCATCTGTTCAATCACTCCTGCCCCGCAGGGTTTCTGGGCGGGAGTGGGAGGCAGGGGTGGTTAGTGTTGATGGACATAAATGTGGGGGGACAGGCCTCTGCCTATGGCAGTCTTGGGCTGGGGGTGAACGCCACGTTTCCCCTTGTTATACCCCGAGTCCAGGTAGAGGTCCCGGAGCGAGGGGAGAGGGTAGGTAGGCAGCAGTTTCAGAGGGCGACTCCTCTTCTCATCTGTACAGAAGGTGACGAGAGCGTCTCCGAGACTGTCACACGGGTTGAGTCCCAGCACGTTGGCTGATACTCAGTAAGTAACGACAACCGCTGACCTTGCTGCATCCACATCAGAAGAGCCTGGGTCTGGCTCTGACTCTACCGCCAACCAGCTTTGTGGCCTTGTGTGGTGCATCTGTTTCCCTCATAGACGCAGGTTACCCACATACCCCCTGAGAGAGCACATTCCCTCTTCTTTAAGGGTCTTCCTACTTGGGAGAGGAGAGGTTTTAAGTTTCGCTAGTTCTAGCTGATTTGGTCACTGTCATACCCATTGCTGCCACTGGGGGTCAGCACCATACCAAGGGTTGGGCTAGGAGGAGGCACACCACAGGAAGACTGGGAGGAGGACTCCTGGCTAAGAAGGGATGGGGTGAAAAGGGTCCCCATGGCCGATCTCATTCCCGCCAAGACAAGGTGGTTCCCCTCCTCTCTCCCTCTGGCCCTGCGGTTCCCCACCATGTGACACACGGAAAGGACGTGGGAGTTGAGAAGGAGCAATACCATTTCCCAGTCCTGGGCCGTCACTTCCCCTTTGGGAGCCTCAGTTTCTTTAGCTATAAAACGGGCTAATGTTATCAAGCTCGTGGGTGGTATAGCAGACATCAGTGGGCTCTATAATTCGAGTTTCTTTCTCCCCCTTTCCATGGGACATATGTAATATTTTCAACAATAAAGATTTTTTTTAAGATTAAACATAAATAAAATATCACAGCAGAAAAAAGAAAAAGGAGGGAAAGATGGAACAAGAATGACAAAGCAGGGAGGGATGTTGAAGGTGGTACTGGATTCATGACTCTTATTTATTCTCCATTATATTACTCTTTCCATGTCTGTGATTGTTTGAAAAATTTCTACTGAAATAATAATCCAGGCTGGGCCTCCTTGCTCCTTCCCGGCCCCTCCCCTCCCTCAGCACCCACTGCCTGGGAAGGCTGTGTCTCTCTCTCACCATAGACAGGGCACGAGGTGGCCCCGGACACACAGGCAGCACATGGCAAAAACAGACCCCAAACCAGATCCCTCCGACCCCAAAGCCATGTCCTTCCCAGCTCGTTGCTTCCGGGAGGTACCGTGACCAGAGCCGGGTTCGTGGGAGGGCCTCTGGGCTCCCCTGAAACTCAACACCATGGGACTCCCAGTCGCTGTGACAGCGAAGAAAAAGCTCTCAGAAGTCCCCCTGAGGGTGGGAGGGGCACTGCCTCTGGAGAACCAGGTTCAAGGTGAGGAAACCCTGGCCCGAGAAGGGGGAGGGCTGCCCAGGGTAACAGGGGTGTCTCCCAGGCTCACAGCTGGGCTCCTCGCCGTGCTGTGTCCTGCCTCGCAGGCTCTCTCGGAACCTCAGGGCACAGATGCGGAAACTGACCCAGAGAAGATGGAGCCAGTCAGGCTCCCGAGCCGCCAAGAGGTGGGGGAAGCTGGCTCTGGAGGGTGCCCACTCGAGGGGAGGCCCCTGCAGGTTATGGGGCATCAGCAGAGGGCCTGCCGCTGCCTTTGACCCCTTCCTCTCTCCATTTCTCCCCCGTTCCCCGGGAGCATCTTCCCTGTGGCAGTGAGCCCTGAGCTGCGCCCGCCTCGCCTGCCCCACGGCCTGGTCTCAGCCTGCAGGCCGCCCTGCTCCCACCCCACCCGGCTGCTCCCTCCCGGGCCTTCCTCCCCCACCAGCTCCCCAGCCTTCCGTGAACCTTCCCACTCATCCCCCCCGAAGGCTAACAGTTGCTGTATTTCATCCCGGGTATCACGTTCACTTCCCTGAAAGTCCCTCCCTACAAGATCATCTCCCCTGGAATGGCAGCTCTACTCACCATGGGGGCCCCGCGGTGGCCGATGAGGGCGGGCTTGGGGCCCAGGTCCTTTCTCTCCATGATGCAGGGCGAGGAGATGGTGAGCGGGGTCAGGTAGAGGGTGAACACCACGGCGGAGAAGATGCAGAGGATGGCCATCTGGGAGGCTGGGCACAGGCGAGAGCACCACCCGGTGAGCGCCCGCTCCCGTCAGGCCCGGCCGTGAGCCCTGCGGAGGAGGTGGGGGACCCCTCTCCCCTCCAGAGTCCGGACACACATGCTCTGAAGAGGCTGCACTAGGGGCAGCCCCCATTGTAGCCAGAGAGAGGTGACCTGCCTCTGGCCCACACGCCATGCGGACACAGATGCAGACGCAGACTCGGATGAGGAAGCGGGCACTGCTGACGGAAGCTGCAGCCCCCATAGTACCCATGGCCCCGCAGGGCACATCCAGGGCATGGCGGGCCTGGGGGGCAGGGAGGGCAGGGCCGGGGGCAGGTCCTGCCCAGTCACACTCACAGGACCGCTCTGCCCGGGCGAACTGTCCCGCCACGATCCAGGAGAGCACAGTGACGGCGGCCAGGGCCCCCATGTGCAGGAACGGAGCTGTGCCCTGTGTGCGGGGAGAGGGGACAAGAGGCCCCACTGAGTCCCAGCTGTGCCAGACCCTCTGTCACCAACATCCTAATGGCCCATTGCTATCCACGGGGCAGGCACCCCCGAGACACTGGGCGTCATGGACCCTGGGCGGTCACCCCCCCCTCCTCTGACCTGCTGTGACCTGGGCCCCTCCTCCCGCTCAGGGTCTTGATCAGAGAAGCAATGGGATAGAGACACATGCTGCCTTCTTCTGCGTGTTTGAGGGTGGGAGGGGCACTGCCTCTCCTCTCCGAGTGCCCACCACCATGCTCACCACCGTGCTCAGCCCCTCCCCACCCCCCTCACCTGCAGGGAGATGAGCAGCACCTCCCACTCGTCCTCCCACAGCTGGGCCATGGCCGACATGGCCACCACCGTGGACACCAGGATGACCACCAGCCCCATCTGGAAGGGAAGAGCAGGTGTGGCTGGACAGGCCAGGGGCCTCCAGCGTGTCTGAGAGGGGGAGGCAGGGACCGAGGGGAAGAGAGGAGAGCACAGGAGAGGCGGACAAAGCCGGGGAGGGGGAGCAGGAGATGGCACAGGCTGAAAGGAGCTGAGACAAAGAGGACAGTGAGAGACAGGGATGACACTGAGGGGCAGGACAGCGAGAGGCAGGGATGACGGCGAGAGGCAGGGATGAGAGTGAGACGGAGGCAGGAGGAGGACGCAGACCCAGGGAAGAAGAGCCAAGGACCAAGAGAAACAGAAGGGGATGGGAGGGGGCAGGGAGCTGGAGCAGGTGGAGGTGAAGCCCAGGCTCAGCCCCACGCAGGGTGTGAGGCGGGAAGACACCCAGGCTCTCCTGCGCCCAGCAGGGCCCACCCAAGGCCTCCCCCAGCCCTACCAGCACCCTTTGGAGTGAAGGGTGAGTTGCCTGGACCACAGGGGCAGGAGGCTGAGGAGCCAGGTCCCCGGGGGAGCCTGATGCCCAGGCCAGCCGTGTCCCCTGCCAGCCAGGCCCACAGGCCCTGCAGGCTGAGCAAGCAGAGGGGAGGGAGGGTGCAGCCCCAGCCCCAGCCCAGGCAGAGCCTGCCCTCAGCCCCAGCCTCCGAGCCCCCAGCCTCTGTCATGTCACCGGGGCCGCCTCCCAGCCGCTCCTGAAGAAGCAAGGCCCGCTGTGATGGGAGACCAGAGGGAACCTTCACAGGACGGGGCTCTGGGCACGGAGGGGATCTGACCATCTCACACACGCCAGATGCTCCCCAAACTAAGTGAAGCCTGGTGTCTGGCTAGTCTCCAGAGACACCCACCCTCCCCCCGCCAACACACACCTCTTGAGCCTGGCACTCACCCTACACACCTCCCGGCAGGCCGGGTAGTGCCCAGGTGACCCCTCTGCCCCACAGCCCTACCCACTCCTCTAAGGGGCCGGGCAGCCAGGCCCGTACTCCCTGCCCCTCCGTACTCAGGCTGAGGCAGGTGTCCCCTCTCCCTTCCTTAGGGCCTGTCCTAGCCCCTCTCAGAGGAACTCTGACCGCCCTCCAGCTGGAACAAGCTCTGAATGGGATTCCAGATGGGGAGGGCAGAGGGGGCAGCTCCATCTCCTTCCTGCCTGGGTGAAGTTTTCCTTTGTGGGTTTGTCATGCCCACCCATCAGGCGGGAAACAAGTGTTCCAATGAGAAGCAGTAATAAGACTGGGCCGGGGCGGGGTCTTCAGTGACTGGCCTGCCTGCCTGGGAGCATGGGATGGGGAAGCAGGCCTGGGAGGCGTGTGCTGGGTGTGTGTGCTGGGTATGTGCGCCGGGTCTGTGTGTAGGGTGCGTGTGCCGTGTGTGTGTGTGCCGGGTGCATGTGCTGGGTGTGTGTGCCAGGTGCATGTGCCGGGTGTGTGTGCCAGGTGCGTGTGCTGGGTCTGTGTGCCGGGTCTGTGCGCTGGGTTTGTGCACTGGGTCTGTGTGCCGGGTCTGTGTGCTGGGTGCGTGTGCTGGGTGTGTGCGCCGGGTATGTGCGCTGGGTCTGTGTGCTGGGTGCGTGTGCTGTGTGTGTGTGCCAGGTGCGTGTGCCGGGTCTGTGTGCCGGGTCTGTGTGCTGGGTCTGTGCGCCGGGTCTGTGTGCCGGGTCTGTGTGCCGGGTGCGTGCGCTGGGTGTGTGCGCTGGGTGTGTGTGCCGGGTGCGTGTGCTGGGTGATGTGCCAGGTGTGTGTGCCGGGTCTGTGTGCCGGGTGCGTGTGCTGGGTGATGTGCCGGGTGAGTGTGCCAGGTGCGTGTGCCGGGTGTGTGTGTGCTGGGTCTGTGGGAGGCACTTTCGTTTTCCTTGTGTTTATTCTCCTCCCCTCCCGGGGGAGGCACGATCTTCATTTTACACACAGAAACTGGGCTCAGAGACCACTGGATTTGCTTGGCCGTGTAGCGTTGAGGGGGTATTTCTGGACCCAAACTCCACTCTGCCTGGGTCAGAGGCCATGCCGCAGTGCGGGAGGCCCAGCGCCCTAACCACCCCCGAGAGTGCCCCTCATATGCACAGGCGCCCGCCCCCTGGCAGGCGCTGGGCTCGCCAGGCGTCTCTGCAGGGCCATTTCTGGGAGCATCTCTGGCAGTATTTAATTGCTAGTGGAAATTAAACAAATCCCCCACAACCCTCAGGCAATTAAAACTTTGCTGATGAGTTCTGCAGTTGCTGCGGTGGCACCATTATGCTCAGCAGCAGCAGATGCAATGTTCGCTGTCTGAGGGATTCCCCCACACGTGGCTTCAGCCCCCAAAACAGCCCGAATCCCCGCAGAGAGCCGCCATCCCTCCCACCCGCCTTCCCTCCCACCCAGACGCCCGGAGGCAGCCCTGTCCCCTGAGAGCCGCCTTTGGGTTCCGTGCTGGTGAGGCTGGTGTGTGAGGACAGTGGGAAGGACAGGGACATGGGGCTGCACCCATTCGTTCAGGAGCGGTGCTGGGTGCTGGTGACGTCAGCTTGCACTCCGTACAGCTTGTGCTCAGGAGTGGGAGCCCATCCTGCAAAGGTGCCACAGGTTGGCCTTCTGGGCGGGGAGTGGGGATGGGGTGCTGGAGCGTGGGTTCGGCAGCCGCTGGTTGGCCGGGGCTCAGGGACACGCGTGATACACCCACCGGCACATCCCAGCTCTGTGCCTGACGGGGGAGGTGGGCCCTCGGAGCACGGCTCCTGGGCTGTGACATGGGGGGGGGGGGGGACGGTGCCCACCCCACAGGTCCTGGGGAAGATAAAAGAGAAAGTACAAGGGCTGTGCTGAGCACGGTGGTGGGCACTAAATTGGTAAATGCTAGTAATTTTTATTTTTTATATATTTATTTTTTAAAAATATATATTTTATTGATTTTTTTACAGAGAGGAAGAGAGAGGGATAGAAACATCGATGAGAGAGAATCATCGATCAGCTGCCTCTTGCACACCCCTTACTGGGGATGTGCCCGCAACCAAGGTACATGCCCTTGACCGGAATCAAACCTGGAACCTTTCAGTCCGCAGGCCGAAACCGGTTTTGGCCAGTGTTGTAATTTTTAAGAGTGGGCTGAACATCAGGCGAACAGGATTGTTACGAGGAGTGAATGGAATGCTGTGTGGCACATGCGGACACACAGAGTGAGTGCCCAATCAGTGAGGTCGTGGCTCTTACGCCGAGAACGGTGCATGGCCCGTCCTGGCACCTGCCCCCAGCCCTCCCCTGCTCAGGACTCAGGGGAACCAGGGACTCCCAAAGTAAAGGTCTTGATTAAACACAGTATGAAGCTGTAGTATTTATGTAAAGCATTTGGATGCTGATATGAGAGCAGAGAGATAAACGGAAGTAAATAAAAAGCTCAAAAACAGATCTAAATAGATTTTAAAAATCAGCATATGCCCTAGCTCGTTTGGCTCAGTGGAGAGAGCGTTGGCCTGCAGACTGAAGGATTCAATTCTGGTCAAGGGCACGTACCTCAGTTGCAGGCTCTATCCCCAGCTCTGGGGCTGCATGCGGGAGGCAACCAGGCGATGTGTCTCACATCGATGCTCCTCTTCCTCTGTCTCTCTCCCTTCCTTCCACTCTCTCTAAAAATCAATGGAACAATATCCTTGGGTGAGGATTATTTTTTTTTTAAATCAGCATATGATAAAAGTGGCATCTCCAATTAGAAGGGAAAGGGTAGCCCTAACTGGTTTGGCTCAGTGGATAGAGCGTCGGCCTGGGGACTGAAAGGTTCCAGGTTCGATTCCAGTCAAGGACATGTACCTTGGTTGTGGGCACATCCACAGTGGGTTGTGCAGGAGGCAGCTGATTGGTGTTTCTTTCTCATCACTGTTTCTAACACTCTATCCCTCTTCCTTCCTCTCTGTGAAAATCAATAGAAGATATTTTTTTAAAAAAGGGTAAGAGTAGATTTCTCAATAGATAGTCAGGAACAGTGGGAAACCATCCAAGAAGAACAAAGTAAGACCATACCACACCTGAAAGTAACTTCCAGAATGTTAAAATTTTAAATGTTACAAAAAGCAGAAACATGTAATTATCAAATAATACCATAGAAGAACATTTTTATAATCTGCAGTGGGAAAGACTCTAACACAAAAGCCAGGAGCCATACAAAGAGAAGGCAGATTCACATCCTTAAGAACAAAAAAATTCCCATGGCAAAACCACAACAAGCAAGGCCAAAGGCGGAGTGACACACTCGGAAGAGTTGTTTGCAGTTCATCAGCCAAAGGGCTGATTTTCAGAACCTATAAAGCACTCCTGCAAGTTAATAAGCAAAAAGCAAATCCTGTGGCAAAAAGGCAAAAGATAAGCAGAGACAGTTTATGGAAAAGAAAATGCAGATGACTCAAGCACATGAAAGATGCCAAATCTAATGCATTATCTGGGAAATGCAAAGCAAAATGACACAGAGGGGCTAGGTTCATCCATTAATGGGCTCAGGTCGAGACATCTATGGGCAAGGGTGGTTTGATAAGCATAACCACAGCTTGCCGAGGGAGCATGGGCTGGCGGCACTCGGCAAGGAGGCGATTTGACAAGAACTATCACAATTACAAAAGCATCCTCTAGAATTCCCACCCAGATCACATGGTCCTGGCAATGAATTAAAAGCAACTGGGGCCTGGCCAGCATGGTTCAGTGGCTGAGCATTGACCTCTGAACTAGGAGGTCATGGTTCCATTCTAGGTCAGGACACATGCCCTGTTGCGGGCTCAATCCCCAGGAGGGGGTGTACAGGAGGCAACTGATTGATGGTTCTCTCTCATTATTGATGTTTTTATATCTCTCTCCCTTTCCCTTCCTCTCTGAAATATATATATGTATGTATGTATAAGTATCCTATCTAAGAAAGACAGAATATGCAAATTGACTATAACTCTGTGATAAAAGTGGCCATGCCCACAGCCAATAAGGAGGGAATATGCAAATTGACACCACAAGCGAGAGGTGGAAGGTGGCTCCAGGCCAGAGCAAAGGCTGTGCTGGCAGCCAGGGAAAGGAAGACCTATTCTTACACAAATCTTTGTGGATTGGGCCTCTAGTATATATATATTTAAAAAGCATCTGGGATGTCATCAGGACCATCAACGGGATACCTGGGGACCCAGGGTGAGATGTGGGGATGGGAGCAGGGGCTGAATGACAATGGACACTCTCAATGCTCTGTGGGGAAGGAGCTCCAAGAGTTTTGTTAACGTGTGAAATGGAGGTATAGTAGGCTTGTGTGTAAAGAAAAGGGAAAAGGAAGTGTATATGAATATTTGGATATGCTTAAAATACGTTGGAGAGATAGTAGGGAGGCCTACATTGTATACTTTTTTGCACCTTTCTAATTTTGAACCCAAATGTCAATGTAGCAGATGTCCAAAAATTGGTTAAAACAAAACAAAACAAAACAAAACAAAACAAAAGGACAAAGATTCCTTAGAATCTTCTACCTCAATGATGGAACGTTGGGAACAGAACAGGAGCGTGTCCAGCCCCTACTTGAAAGCTCTGAGCCCCAGGGAGCTGCCTCCCTCCTGGAGCAGTGGGTCCAGCCATGCATCTGCTCCGGCTGGGCCTTCCTCATGCTGAGATCTCGTGGCAGGGGGCAGCGGGGACGGGAAGTCAGGGCTGGCACCGGAGCTGGCACCGTGCAGATGAAGGGATCCGATCCCCCTCCCAGGAGAGGAATCCATGCAGTGACCTGCACCCCTGCCGGCTCGGCGCCTCTGGAGGCCTCTCCACCAGGATCCGGCAGGTGTGACCTGCTGAGAGCCAGGTGTGACCCAGAGGAGGCGACCACGGTGGGAGCCAGCCCCACCCAGGTGCCATCTGGTGCGGTCCTTTCAAGCATAAGCTTTGTAGCCGGGAGATAAAAGTGCCTCACGGAGGGGACTTCACATGCCCAGGGAGGCCTCCGGATAGAGTGACAAGCAGGCGGAGGTGGGACACCGGGGTTGCTGGCTGCTCTTCACCCCTCCGAGACCCCAGTCACCCAGTCTGGGCCTCCAGCTACTGATCTCCACAGTCACCCTGGATGTCCTCGGGCACCTCCCACTGCACAGCCCAATTCGAACTCACTATGTCCTTCTTCCAGCTCCTGCTCCACGTCCCTCTGCTAGCTGGAAGCAAGCCCTTCCCCTCAGAGTCACCCTGGACCCATCTCATGGGCTCATGGCTATTTCTAGACATGCCTGCCCCTTCCTGACCAGCATGGCCACTCTGAGCCAGGCTCTGGGAATAAAGAGCCAGCCGAGCCCTCCCTCCCAGGCCCAGGTGCTCCTGCGAGGAAAGGCTCTCTCTCTCGGTCAGTTCTGTGCCACCCCTGCGACTGCTGGGGCCTCAAGAAGAGCAGGCAGAGCCACTCAGCACCAAGCACAGCAAGAGGGCCGAGGCTCTGATTCTCGGAAGCCTCCCTGTTGGGCCCAGCACCCAGGGAGGCACTAGGGCCAGCGATGGGCAAAGCCAGTCCTGGTTGCAAGAAGCTCCTTGAGCCCTGACTAGTTTGGCTCAGTGGATACAGCGTCAGCCTGTGGACTGAAGGGTCCCAGGTTCGATTCCAGTCAAGGGCATGTACCTTGGTTGCGGGCACATCCCCAGTAAGGGGTGTGCAGGAGGCAGCTGACTGATGTTTCTCTCTCATTGATGTTTCTAACCCTATCCCTCTCCCTTCCTCTCTGTAAAAAAAAAAAAAAAAAAAAAAAAAATCAATACAAAATATTAAAAAAAAAAAAAGAAAAAAAAAAAGAAGCTCCCAGCATGGGGAGGGCTGGGGTCAGGGAGCCAGAGGGAGCCGGACCACATGGACGCTCAGGCTGTGGTGGCGGGCTCTGCGGGAGCCGGGGAGTCCAAGCATCCTGGGCAGGCGGTGGAGAACCAAGGAGGGGCTGGAGGGAGACAGAGGGAGGCGAGAGCGAGGAGGCAAAGTAGAGAAGAGGCAGCCGTGATGGCGGGGCCCGAGACGTCTCATCCACAGCCGGGGGTGACGGACCCAGGACAGCGGTTGGGAGACGTGAACAGGGCCATGTCATGAGGGGCCGCCATGATGGGTGGGGGGTGGGGGGCCTCCTGGGAGCAATGGGAGTGGTGGGAAGGCCTCTGGCGGGGAAGAACACGACTGGGTCAGTTTCAGAACGAGCTCGCTGCGGAATGAAGAGAGGGTGTGACCCGTGCTGGTTGTCTGCCCTGCTACGGGGTTAGGACCCTGGATCCTCCACTGACGGAGTGGGAGACCCTGGGCAAATGACTTAACCTCTTTGTACCTCAGCTTTTCCAGTTACAAAGTAGGATCACAGTACCTGCTACATAGGGCTCCTGTGAGAGCTCAATGCGTTAACACCGGCCAGGCTGGGAGGACAGGGCTGGGCACAGCATGAGAACGGAGTGTGAGCGACTAGAACAATTGTGGCCATGACCCAGAGGAGGGGCGATGGGCCCCCTCTGCTCCCTCTGACCTCGCGGGGGCAGCCCTTACCTTGTGCAGCCAGTGCAGGTTCATCTGCTGCCCCACGGCGATGTGGCAGAGCGCCAGGACCTGAGGAGGGGCCACAGGGCAGCGGTCAGGCACCACGTGCCACTCAAAGCTCCCGCCCACTCCCCAGACACCCTGTCCTCACTCAGCTCTGGGTCTGGCTCAGAAAAGCCAGCAAACCCTCCCCGGAGGTGGAGGCGGTGGGAATGCCCGGCCCGGCCCACGCCTGGCCTCCTCCCAAACTCTCCCAGGCCTCCCGCTCCTCCTCCTCCTCGAGGATTTCTCCCTCGGCCGGCTGCCCTAGGGCTGCTCAGTTCACGTTGTAGGAGTTCCAGGCCCCTGGAGGCGGAGGTACCTGTGAGCCTGGTTCCCAAGGAGCCCCCTATCCAACAGAGGGAGTGACGGGAGTCTGAGGGAATAGAGGTCTGGGCGCAGGAGCCAAAGCAGAAGCTCCTGGAAGAGGCTCCTAGGAGCAGACGCCTCCCCCCAGGTCGGGGGAAACACTGCAGGATGAGGTAGAAGGAAGGCGATTGCCCACCTTGAAGGAACCAAGCCCCTGAGGTGCAGCAGCCCGAGAGAAGGGGAAAGCCGGCTCCCTCATCATCCCGGGGCAGGCCCCTCCAGCCGCCCTGCCCAGGCCACACCTCCCTTCCCCGGAGCAGGGCCAGCCCTCAGCGTACCAGGAGGCCCGCGATGTAGGTGAAGGCGGTGGCTGCCGTCAGGAGGATGGGCACGGACCAGTCACTCCAGAAGCCCAGGCGGTTGTAGAGGTACCTGCAGGAGGACAGGGGGCCGGGGTCAGACCTCCCCCAGGAGCTCAGGGGCCAGGCCCCGCCCACTCCGTAATGATGCTCTTGTGTCTCCATCATCAGCCAGGCCCGTGGTGGAGCCTGGGCATGCCAAGAGCATAAAGGAGAGGTCAACAATCTCCGTCGCTCTACCGCCCAGAAACAAGCATTTCCCAAACCGGGCTGACGTTCCTCCCAGCGGCTTCCCCGCCTGTGCTTATAGATCTGTATCCGCAGCAAAGCCAGACCCGCTGGAAGAGCACAGTGGTCAGGGTTTGGCTTTGGAGGGAAGTACACTCGGATTCAAATGCCCACTCAGCCTCTTACTGGCTTGTGGGTCCCTGCGGAGGGGACAGGCTTTACGGATCCTAAAATGCCATCAGTTGTGACACCCATTTCTATTTCAAAGCTAGGATGTGAAAAACAGGGGGTCTTAGAATGGATCAAATGCCCTTCAAAGGATTTCCTGAGGATGAACTGGGAGGTTGCAGGGGCGGGGGAGGGCATGTGATCAGTAATCAATTCTCTTCTGATTCACACGGGCATTTACTGAGGTCAGAACAAACCCGAGGAGATGTGATTTTCAGCAGCCACGTAGTCTTCTGCTGAATCAGTGCACCATATGTGGCCAACCTCCCACTAATGGCAATTAATCATTCCCAATTATTCGCTATTATAAATGAACACAGAAAACTGTGAACATATCTTTGTGTTCTAGTAATTACTTACTTAGGACAGACTCCTACACACAGAGTCACAGGCTGAAGGGAATAAGCTTTTTAGGCACCTGTTTCCTGCTCTTCCCTGGCCCGCGCCCTCTGGCTCCAGAGGAAACCTGCCACCTGGGAGGTCACGGAGGGCGCTCTTCTACCGTACAGAAGGGGAAGCCAAGGCCCAGAGAGGGGCGGGACCACTCCTGCTGACAGCTTCTGCCAAGAGCCCTGGCTCCACGTGTCTCTCCCTCGCCAGAGAGCCCTCCTGAGCAGCAGCAGCCCCGAAGCCCCTCCCTGGCTCTTATCATCCAGCCCTGACCGCCTGGGTCTCACTCACAACGTCTCCAGAGACCACAGGCCCAGGCCAGACCCCCAGCCCAGAATCCCAGCCCAGACTTTAAGAAACTGAGGTGGCAGGCGGGTGTTCAGGCCACCCCTAAGCCCAGGCAGGGCCTGACGGGCAGGCACCCATCCTCTGCCTGAGCCACCCAGCGGCAGGGAGCTCACTCTCTGGGAAGAGGGGTGGCTCTGCAGACGGCATGAGACAGCCAGCCAGGCTCTTGTCACTGTCCTAGAGCTGTCTGCACTTCACTGTGTGACTTCGGGAAGGCCACTTAACCTCTCTGAGCCTCAGTCTCCTCAGACTCTCCTTGGGATGACTTTTTGGATTTCCTAAGGATGAATTTTGGGGGGTTGCGTGGCCACAGGTGAGTCCTGCCCCTTTCTGGGCCTTAGGTTCCCCATCTGAACATAATGACTTTCCAGGGAGCCAGCCTCCCTCTCAGCAGAGCTGTCCAAGGTCTGCAGCGAGGGCCGGCCGGGTGCGCCTGCACGCCCAGCACAGTGCCTGTGGTGCGAAGCCTACAAGGATGAGTAGCTGATTTATGGCGTTTAATAAAGGCCAGAGGCCACCCCGGGGACTCGGCTGGGGCTGAGGCTCACCTTGCCAGGCTGGGGGGACATGGGGGACAGCAGCACACCCTTTATTGTGCTCGTTAATAATGGAGGCGCAGCCTAGGGCCACGCAGAGGGGAAGGGATGCCCAACTCCATGAACAGAATCTTAGGATCATCATGGAACCCCAGAACCATCAGAAGTCCCCAATCCTAACATCATGGCGCCTTCCAGCTAGAGAACGGGCCTCCCAGGAAATGACCCTCAGGGTGAAGTAGGGCATTGAGCCCTCTCAAGTCCATCATCTCATTTCACCTCAGAAAGACCTGATGAGGTCAGAGTTACCCCATTTTACAGAAGAGGACACAGAGGCTCAGAGTGGACCAGAGACTTGCTGGTCTCAGTTCCCCTGGGCTTTGTCTTTCCAGAGACCCTGCCCTAAAACCACACAGAGTTGGTGGCAGAGCTCTGAGGGCCAGCCTGAGAAAGAGGCTCAAACTCCACCACCATTACCACCACCACCACCACCACCACCACCACCACCACCACCATCACCCCCCCTCCCAATCTCAGCCTCTGCATGCCCGGCCCATCCCCACTCACCAGTTGAATTCATCGTAGTCATTGTGGACCTCCCACCAGAAGTAGAGCCAGGTGAGGGTGAGGCCGAAGGTGACGGTGAGAAGCAGGAACCAGAGGCGTTCCCACTGGAGGAGCAGGACAGGAAAGGGATCAAGTGGGGTCACGGGTTGGCCCAGCAGGCCACCTGCCTGAATGTGCCCTCCTTCTCCTCTCTGCAGCCAACCTGCCAGGCAGGGATTGGTCCCTCTTCACAGTGGTAGGGAGGCTCAGGGGGGGGAAGTGTCCTGTGCATAGACTGGTGGGGAGCTGGGAGCTGGGTGGGGCTCCACCCCCGAGCTGGGCCCTGTGGCCGCAGCCTGAGGCCTTGCAGCGGGCACCAGTCTCTGGCAGTGGCCCCAGGAGCAAAGGCCACATCTGCCCGGAGCCCTCCCACTGGCACAGTGACCTGCAGCCTGTGAACAGGTCACAGTCTTCATCTCCTTCCCTCCTCACACAGGCCTGCAAAGCAGGTCTTCTTCCTGCCTCCGCCCTGGACTCCTGAGTAAACGCTGAAGCCCAGAGGCAAAGCGGTTGCCTAAGTCAGTAGTCAGCAAACTGCGGTTCGCAAGCCACATGTGGCTCTTTGGCCCCTTGAGTGTGGCTCTTCCACAAAACACCACGTGCAGGCACGCACGTGGCCCATGCGCAGAAGTCGGTTTTCGGCTCTCCAAAGAAATTTCAGTCGCTGTACTGCTGATATTTGGCTCTGTTGACTTTATCCAAACATCGGCCTAAGTCCCACAGCCAGTTATCAGAGGATTAAAGTCTCCCCCTCCCCAATCTGGACTTGAGGAAATGCGGGGTTCTGCAGCCTCCCAACCAGGCACTGGCCGCTCAAGCCTGGGCAGGCCCCCCTGCCTCCTGTAGGACTGGGGATGGGGAGGGTGGGGGCTGCCGACCCACCACAGCTGCTTCCTAGTCTGCAGCCGCTTCCGCTGGTCCCGGTTTAATCCTTGCTTTCATCCGTCCCCTTATCTCAGAGGCACAGCGAGCTCGGACATCCTGCTGTCTGGGAAGCCGCTGAGGTCCTCAGAACACGTCAGCGGCCCTCGAGGGGAAGTCAATGCAGGAGAGAACCAAGACCACCTCTGGCTAGGCTGGAGGGGTGGCAGCAGCCGGGCAATCTCTGGCCGGGCGCTGTTAGGAGGCCCTTTGCCAGGCTCCTTGCAGCTCATCTCACCTCAGCCATCCCTGGAACCTACAGTTCTGACCCCAATGTATTTTCTTTAAAAAAAAAAAAAAAAAAAAAAAAAAAAATATATATATATATATATATATATAGTTGATTTTTTACAGAGAGGAAGAGAGAGGGATAGAGAGTTAGAAACATCGATGAGAGAGAATCATCGATCAGCTGCCCCCTGCACACCTCCTACTGGGGATGTGCTCGCAACCAAGGTACATGCCTTTGACTGGAATCGAACCTGGGACCTTTCAGTCTGCAGGCCCATGCTCTATCTACTGAGCCAAACCGGTTTTGGCCCAATGCACTTTCTTAATGGCTCCCTATTGCTTAGCCAAGCAGGGGCTCCCTCGGGGGAGAGGGGTGCTCCCCACCCTCCCCTCTCCTGCTTCCTACCCCCTACCAGTTCCCTCCCTCTGGGTATGGCCATCTGACATTGCCTTTTACCTTTCAGCTCAAATGTCACCTCCTCTGGGAAGCCTGCCTGGTCTCTGCCCCTGCCAGCACCCTCCCTCCTCAGGGCTCCCTCAGCATCAGGGAACCTCTCCAAACTCGCCGTCTGTGCACTGCGATCTGACCGTGGGACTGCGTCTCCCCAAGGACGGCTCTGTGTCGCCCTGGGCTCTGCGAGGATGGGGCCTGAGCCTGCCGCCACTCCCGTGTGTGTGACTGGGGGGAGAAGAGGAGGGAGGGTGCTGCCCTCGCTGCCCAGGATACCACCACCTCACACGGCCAAGACACAGCGCAGTGGGGCCAGATCCCCTGTCCACCCCTCACTCGCTGTCTAACCTGGGGCATTGCAAGCCGATGCAACCCGTGCCTCAGTCTCCCCTGTGACATGAGGACAATAATACTTATCCATGGGGTTGATGCGAGAATTGAATGAGATAATACAAGTCAGGCCGAAACCGGTTTGGCTCAGTGGTAGAGCGTCGGTCTGCGGACTGAAAGGTCCCAGGTTCGATTCCGGTCAAGGGCATGTACCTGGGTTGTGGGCACATCCTCGGTAGGGGGTGTGCAAGAGGCAACTGGTCAATGTTTCTCTCTCATCAACGTTTCTAGCTCTCTCTCTCTCTCTCTCTCTCTCTCTCTCTCTCTCTCTCTCTCTCTTTCTCTCTCCCTTCCTCTCTGTAAAAAAACAAACAAAACAAAACAACAAGTCAGGTGCTCAGCACATCTGTAAGGATGTCTGCCTCTCCCCGGCACCCGCGAGGGGAAGGCCCGCAAAGCCGGGCGCGTCGTGACTGTGAACACTTTCTGGGCAGGAGGGCCCGGCGTGGTGACACAGCAGCCTCCTCCACGTGGCACATAACTGGAGCCGTGACGGTGACCACACGCTGGAGGAGGTGGAGGCGGGGGGGCTTCTCAGAGAGGAGGCCAGCCCCACCCGGACAGAACGGCGGGAGCCCCTGTTCCAGGCCCAGCGAGGCCCGGCCTTGTCCAGGAAGGGGGAAACCCTGGAAGGGTCAGCAAGGCACAGGCCTTTATGGAGCAATGGGACCCTGGCAGCCGCTGGCCAGAGACCGGCTGGGACTGTCTCGGGGAGCAGAGAAGGGCCCGATTTTGGTCCTGCTGTGTGCGTCTGGGCCCTGGCTCCAGAGGCGCTGGCCACCATACCGGCACAACTGGGCCAGCACCCCACCTGGCGGGCCCAGCCTCCTCCCCCGCCAAGTCCTTCTGAGAATCCCTCTTGCTACCTCCACTTCTTACTTGCTCACAGATAAAAATTCCTTTGCGTCCATTTCCTGCAGAGGGCAGCGGTCGGTCCCGGGCCAACTTAAACAGCTGGGTCTCCTAAGACTGGTCCGCCTTGGTGATGTCCTGCTCCAGCTCAAGAGTCCCACGGGCCTGAGCCCCCCGGCTCCCCTCTGCCCGACACGTGCACTTTACGCGCCACGCACTGAATCACCCACCGTTCCTCACGGGCTCTCTCCAGCCCCTGCCTTTCCAGGAGCCACGCCCTCCATGGAGAAGGCAACCTAGTCCCCGGGGAGACCCCGCTCCTCAGCGTTCCCGTCACCCTTGCACCCGTGTCAGTTCCGACACACGCCCTGCAGGCCTGTGACTGACTCTGTGTGTGGGTCTCCCTGCTGTACTGCGAGAGCCTGGAACGTCCGGATGGTCTTCATTTTCCCAGGGTGAGTGGGGACTTAAGAAAGATTTGGTAATGAAACAGAAGGCGAGAAAACCGCCTTTCTCCCATCCCCAGTGAGTACGCCCTCCCAGGAGAGATGTCCCTGCCCCCCCCCCCCCCCCAGCGGAGCCTTAGACGCCTGCGGACCCCGAGCTGGCGGTGCAGAGTGGCCACCTGTCCAGAGATGGCGCTGCCTCAGTAGGACGAGGCCGCCGCGCCTCTGAGCAGGGGATGAGGGTCTCAGAGGGGCCTGGGGCAGCGGAGCCTCGCTTATGCTGGGTCCTGTCCCAGGCACGCAGGCTGGGGGACCACAGCTGGCGGGACCAGGGGGGCTGGCTGCAGGGACAGGGGAGTGTCACGGTGTGGAGAGATGTCTGAGAAGAGCTATGATGTAGGCCCGGGGACGATGCTGGCGGGCGGCCAGGAAGACCACAGGAGTCGGGAGGGTCTGCTGTCTGCGTGTGGGCCCTGGCTCCAGAGGCGCTGGCCACCACACCGGCACAACTGGGCCAGCACCCCACCTGGCGGGCCCAGCCTCCTCCCCCGCCAAGTCCTTCTGAGAATCCCTCTTGCTACCTCCACTTCTTACTTGCTCACAGATAAAAATTCATTTGCACGCATTTCCTGCAGAGGGCAGCGGTCTGTCCCGGGCCAACTTAAACAGCTGGAGGCAGGGGTCTGGCACACTCAGGGTCCCTGCCCTCACAGGGCCAGATCCTGAGAGTGGGCAGGGAGGACAGGGCAGGAAGGAGGGGCTGCCCTGCCCTGCCCCTGAGAACCAGCCAGGGTGGCAGGTGTGTGAGGCACCCAGGGCGTGGCAGGGAGGGAAGCAGGGCCATCAGGCATGAGCTAGGGTGGGGGCGCCTAGGGAAACTGATCCTAGGAACTGGGAGCCAGAGGCCCCGTGGCCACAGGGAGCCTGTAGCTGGGGATAAAGAGGCACCGACACAGGGGGCGGGCGGCGGGGGGAGGGGGCACAGACAGGGTCATTCTCAGAACAATCAGAGGAAAAAACTGAATGGATGGTGGGGGCTGGAAGGAGAGGGAGGAGGAGGCAGGGAACTGGCAGGAGGAAGTGGGGGGTGGGGAGCAGCTCCACTGACAAAGAGGCTCCAAATGGCACTGATGGTCCTTGTCAGGGTGGCAGGGAGGCCAGGGTGCTGCCTGCATTGACAAGCCAGCCCAGCCCCGCTCCGGGCTGAGCAGCCAGAGGAGCCCGCGGATCTGCCTCCTCCGTCACCTCTCACGGTCTGTGCGGTGCTGGGGTGTGTGTTTATGGGCGTTTATCCCAGCAGAGAGCAAACGCAGACACGGAACCTCAGAGGAGGGCCAGCCTGTGTGGCTGAGCCAGCTGTGGACCCCAGCACTGGAAAGGGCCCCGGCATCGTGGTTCCCGGCGATGGGCACATTGGCCATGACAGTGTCCCAGCGGCTGCCGCTCAGGAGTCTGGGGAAGGGGCGCCTTTTGCTGATTGGCATAGATTTGGATGAGAGGAGGCGACTCAGAGGTGGAGCCATGTACCCAGGGGGTTGGGGACGGGGGACTGAACCCAGGTGTCCTGACCGGAGGCTCCCCGGGTGCCCCGAGCATCTCTCCCCAAAACCACCCTCTGGGACCCGTGTGGCCACCTCAGGGGTGTGGATAGCTTTCTGGATTCCTCTCTCTCCTCTCTCTGCCTCCCCGCTTCCCCCCTCCCCCCCACACACCTCTTTCTCCTTGGGGAGGCCCTCCCACTGCCCAGCCTCTGAAGACCTCCCTTCCCTGACCC